GATCTCCACAGCAACATTGATTGTCCTTAAGTCCCAGTAGATTCAGGGAAAAAGACCCTGAAATATCAGTTACACAAGCAAAATGGTAAATAATTAACCACAATCACCATCCTGATTATAATATTATAGTTGCACCTAACTACATAAAATGCAGTTTCCAAGGTTCAATTTGGTGAGCATAAAACTCATTCAAAAACATATAAACACAGCTCTATTCATTTTAGAAGCAATTTATTTGAAATGGCATTGCTGTTTTCGAAAGACCTAACCTCAGGAATATAATTGCCAAATGTCCATTTCAAACTACAATTAATTTCACCATCAGCAATAATTACCAAAGCTGCACTCTTGTAAAAACAATAATTATATTTATGCGAAATGCTGAAAGATTGTGCATTCATGAAAATAACTGGGGCTGGACGGCATTGTTTTGAGGTGAGAGGGGTTTAAATTTAAATTTAAAAGAGACCTGAGGGGTAACGTTTTTACACAGAGGGTGGTGCATGTATTCTGCCAGAGGAAGTGATAGAGGCAGGTACAATTACAACAGTTTTATATTAAATAAACAATGTCACTTAGAATCTGAGTCAGCAAAATGAGAGTTAGTAAACATTTTCAATTCACTGTTTCCTAATTAACGAACTTTGTTCCAAATCATTAATCTTTTTAATGCAAAGACTGCTCACAGCCTCTGCGACACTCATGCCACCCTTCACTGACAGCTTTTTTGCTTTCAGCTTACAGGACACAGTAGATATCAACTTAGCTCCTTGGGTGATGTTCCTGTAATTTAGTCAGGAGATTTATAGGTTCAAGTACCACTCCAGTGACTGATCGTGTAATCTATGGTGATAATGTCAGTACGGTGTGGAATGAATGTTGCAATTATCATAACTGGTGTCTTTTAAATTGTGAATTTAACTTGAATTGAATTAGTTTTATTGTCACATGTATTCATATGAGTCCAGAGAAAAGCTTACGGCACATCTCGGGGAAAGTAAAAGATTCCATGGTACTTAACATTATGGTCAATGTTATCCCTAAACTCACATCAATAAAACACCATATCTCGTAAGTCATTACAGTTTGTGGGATTGTAATGATTTGAAATTGGATGCTGCATTTTTTTCATTGCAACACCAATGATACATTAAAAGCACTTCACAAAAAAAAGGGGCAGTCTTGTGGCATGGTGGTAGTGCCCCTACCCCTGAACCAGGAGGGCCTAGGTTCAAGTCCCACCTGCTCCAGAGGTATGTAATAACATTTCTGAATGAATTGATTAGGAAAAATCAGTCAACCCCAAAAAAAATCACTCTGGAACATCCAGAGGTTATAAAAAGTGATCATGTAAGTTAAAGTATTTTTCTGCATAATGTTTATACCACATACTAAGACCTGCACTACCAAGTGTTTATTTACAAATACAATTTACCTGCAGCACATGGACTGCAATTACGATATGCCCAAATAAAAAAATGAATTTTTAAAATGTATTTCAAAACATGGATTATTTAAAGTTTGCGCAAACTCCTTCCTTCTCCCTAACTCTACTTGAAACAAACATGGATTTTTTTTGCTAATCAAAATAACAACTATTCACTTTGAATACAATACCAGACTCAACTGCGAACGATGCATGCACATTTCTGATCTTTAATATTATTGTGTGGAAACCTATAGGAGCCTGAACAATGTGCGTTCTTTATTATTCACTGACTAGGCATCGGCATCACTGGCCAGGCCCACATTTATTGCCTGTCTCTAGTCGTCCCTTGAGAAGGTGATGGTGATCTGTCTTCTTGAGCCATTGCAGTCCATGTGCTGCAGGTAAACACACATTGCCATTGAGGAAGGGATTCCAAGCTCTTGACCCAGCAACACTGATGGCTCCGATGGTGGAAAATGTAGCAGAATCACACAAAAGGTCCAGCCAGCGAGGCCAATTTCAATGTCTGGAGCAACTTGCAGCATCTGTTTATGCGAGTCCCACGTGTCAAGGGGAGATTCTCACGAAGCAGCAGTGAATTGACAATTAAAGGGTATTATTGCTTGTTAATAACCTTAATATCTGCACACCGTCCCTCATCAATATGCAACTCCCTAACTTACCATCCCTGCCAAGCAATTTAATTGGCTGGAATTCTCAACATGGAGGTCAGAGCAGGTACCAGGTGACTTCAGCTGTTGCTTGCTTCAAATGAAACCTTGTCAGACACGCGGCACAAACATCTTAGAGCATGCTCCATGGACACTGGACACATGCGCCTCACCTATAAGCACATTGGCATCCCACAAGTGCCAGCCTTCAGGAACACTGCCTTGCCTTATCTTGCTTTTTTGGGCCTTGCCCCTCAGCCAAGAACTCAGAAGAACAAGTACGTCCCTGCAGATTTATCCTATTCCAATCAGTTGTGTTGGTATACCTACAAACAATAACAGACTTGTAAAAGACCTCTACATACTGCTCACCAGCAACACCCTCATCCTGTGAATGAATAAACCTGTCCAAATATCTCTTAAGTGTTATAGTTATGCCCATCTCTACCACTTCCTCTGGCAGTTTGTTCCATTAATGCATCATCTCTGTGTGAAAAAATTGCCATTCAGCTGCCTTTTAAATCTTTCTCCTCTCACCTTAACTCTATACCCTCTAGTTTTGCATTCCCCTACCTTGGGGAAAAGACCTTGGCTATTTATCTTATATATGTCCCTCTTGATTTTACAAAACTCTATGAGGGAAAACAAAAGTCCCAGCCTATCCGGCCTCTCCTTTTAATTCAGACCCTCCAGTGAGGCAAACAAAAACATTAGATACTCTGGCCAATTTGAGAGGAAAACAATCTGTAAAAATTCCCTCTGGTCCCAATTAACCAATTGCAACAAGGCCAAAAGATAATTCATTTCTCCTTCAACCTGTTAACTGGCATTTCCACTGTTACAGAGAGATTATGAGTTCTCTCTCCCTATTCTCTTCACATCTCCATAAACAGATAATGATGTAGTTTTTTCTATTTTTGAACAAAAACGTGCGGACATATTTTTCCCACTCCCACTAGTTATGGGCTCTGAGGTTTTAAGGACGGTGATAACACTGTGGTGAAGTTAAACCAGGAAGAGGATTTGTTCACATGCTTTTAGATCTGGGGAAAATCTCACAACATAAACACACTTACAAACATACAAAGAGAGATAGAACTGGAACGGATAAAGAGATTATTCAATTTGTTGCAGCTTAAATGCAAAACAGCCAAGGGAATATCAGTTTATCAATATCCCCATTTTTTTAAAGTGGGAGTCCAAAAGTCCAATATTGGAGTTAGCAATCTGAAATTTCTTTGTGGGGATGCGTTGATTGGCTAGCCATCTATTGAAGAGGTGCTTCTATTCAAAAGTCCCCTCAAAAGTCTTCGAGGGAGCTTTAGTGAAATGTGATTTCTGCTTCACTGTTTTGATGAAAGCAGATTTTTTTTCCCAAGCAGTATATATTAATGTAGGTTGTTGGCCACATTTCCTCTTGCCTTCTCTTTTGACTACCTTTCTCTTCAGACCCAAACGACCTTGTGTTTTAAAAGGCACTTATTTTATCAGGCTTTCTTGAGTTAATGAAGAGTGAATTTATCAATGACTACATGTGAGAAGAATTAGTAATGCAACACATGTACACGCAGATTAGAAATAAGACCTGAGTCCATGAAGATAAAAGTTCAAACAAATAGATATATATGGTTTGCCCTTAGAATTGTTTGCAAAGACCAGATAGTTGTACATTGCTTCTGCTGCTGATGAGGTTCCTGTCTTCGTATTAAAAACAACACCTTTTGGATCATCAATATAAAAATGTCTTAAATATACTGTGATTCTAGTATAGTGGTAATGGCTTTGCGCTAGTAATCCAGAAATCCAGGCTAATGTTTTGGAGATAACAAGGTGTAGAGCTGGATGAACACAGCAAGCCAAGCAGCATCAGAGGAGCAGGAAAGCTGACATTTCGGGTCTAGACCCTTCTTCAGAAATTTCTGTAGTCTAAGCTCCATTTCTCTCAGTAGATTGCCATGTATAAGGAAAAAAAGCAGCAAAGCCTGGAAATGAAACACTGCTCTGAAATGAGGTGGGGGAACGTAGGAACAGGAGTAGGTCATTCAGCACCATTTCTGAAGAAGGGTCTAGACCCGAAACGTCAGTTTTCCCGCTCCTCTGATGCTGCTTGGCCTG